TGCTAGCCCTGATTTTTCAACTAAACTGCCTCTAAAAGCGCTTTTGTGCTCAGTCACCTTTTTTTGAATGGAACGACGAGTCGATTCAACATAAAAGCGACCACATGACCACATCCTTTTATAGCAACCAGATTTGGATAATGGGTCAACTTTCTCTCTAAAAGCTTGCATAACTGAAGAAAATGCTATAGTCTCCCTTGGAACATCTGTATTCCTCACTTCAGCACTAGGTGTCCTATCTTTTTAGACATAGTGAACGAAGGCAGAGAGGAAGCATGGGAAAGGTTTCCGGCCTTTTATCTCTCCTTACGTATTCATTATTCAAATAGGTATTATTTATTAATCCAATATTGTTTTCAATCAGGCATATGGGATAACTATTCTCAAGCAATACTAATTCAAGCGAATATATGAAGACCCTCGGCATGGTCGCAGTTTCCTTTCGATGTATAGAAGTGGGATGCAACTTGGTCTTGTTGTCAAAGTGGCTTAGTCGGACACGCCTTCTCCGAAGTCCTCTGCCATAGTAGTTTTCATAATTCCCAGCGTCAGACCCTGGACTTGGTACATTTTCAGACTACTTTGCAGACTACTATGGCAGAGGACTTCGGACAAGGTGCATCCAACTAAGTCACTCTGACAACAAGACCAAGTTGCAAAAATGAGGTCAACCTACTTCAATACTCACTTAAGTCTATCCAATTCATTATCACAATGGCTATCGGCTAATATTATGCTCCGCATAATGATAGATTTTAAAATAACAACTTTTGTTTTGTAACTATAATTAGAGAATAAATTAGGGATTAAACCAGCCTGTTAACTTTCTATATACATCCCTGCTTAACTTCTCTCCTGATTTGGTCAGCAAAACATCCAAACATAGCAAATTATTATCCTTCTCTATCTCCATCGTAAATTTGACTTTACAATCAACTTGGTTTATTAATAATAAGAAATAATATAAACTATCCTTACCTTGCCATATGGCAAAATAGTCATTCATGTATCCAATTAACAGTTTTAGTGTCAGTCTTACCCTAGTTTTTTTTGCTAATAATGGTATTTCTTCGTTGGACAGACTTTCATTTCGTTTGAAAGTGCATGAAGAAGAGATTCGCATGTTGATCTCACTAGAGAACGACGGCTGATTCCGGTTTTACTGCAGCCGTTTAGCCTTAATACCACGTCCACGAGACATCCTGCCTCTCTTCGGGTGATAAGCGACTAAGCGTTACTCCATCATATGATGGACATCATCTGGGATGGAACTCATTTTTGTAAGTCTAACTTTGAAACTGGGTCAAGAAGACTATCCAGCTCTATTATACATCGTATATATACTCATAACTAAAAAACTAAAATGAATAGGCATAGAAAGACATAGAATGGTTTGGCTAATTAACTTTCATATTGGTTCTGCTACTTCACTTGCGTGTGTGAGTGCCAACGCCTATAAGTAATACCGGCCCTAAATCAGAGTAATTAAAAAAACCCTGATCATCAGAGCTTAATGACCCAAAATAAAGCCCTGACTGAGATTGCATAAGTGCGTAAGGGACCATTTTTGGATGTTCTGATGATTAGAAAAGATGTTTATAGAAAGACAACGTATGTTGGCTCTTCTCTGAATTTTATTTTCAAGCATAGTTACAAAACTAAGTTTGGAATTTTCAAGTCCTTGATTATTTGGAGTATGAGACTAAGGGATAGCAACCATTTGACTAAAGGATTTATTCCTGAAAAGTAATTATTTTTTGGGCCTAATTGAGAATAATATTCTGTATTCTGAGGAATAAATTTTCAGACGGTGACTATTTAGTCAAAGATATATAAGCAGAGACCTTTACTCGTGTTCTGATTTTGTCGTCATGGCTTGCTTCTAAGAAGATAGGTGAAATATTAAGAGAGTAGGGTATAAAAAACATTGTTCTAAGAAACCCCCACACTTTCTCTAGCTATGGCATACTTTAGAGATAAATATGACCCATTATCGAGATCTGGCCGATACAAGATTGTGTGCTTCTGTGGTCAAATTTATGGTGATGAGATATGTTTGCTTGGGGAAACACAAAGATGCTTATCGAGACAGCTAGATCCAATGGTCAGAAGTGGCCGAACACGTGGCAGAGATTGGAAATGAGATAGAATAGTCTCAAACTAGTAGGTTTGTTGATTAGCATACGTCTGCTGTTAACAGGAAGATAAGATAGGCTATTGATATTAAGAGATAATGGAATACGTTGAATGTGAGGAAAAGTGGTCGAAAGATGAGTAAGAAAAATTTATGCTTAATGATAAATTGAAGTAGAGGGTATTTCGCCAACATTTAAAATAAAGCTACCCAACGTTTCCACTCAGTGATGGTTCTAACATCACCATACTCGTCCAACATGTTAGATTACGCAACCTCATTCATGCCTTTCCTTGGGTGGTTATACTTTAATGACTCTAGACTGAGAGGTTATGATAGGAGGTTTCCTAACTTGATTTACACGCTTACAAGCTTACATCTCATCTCAAACAGTTGCTTACGGATTGATGAAGCCTTGGTCAGGGCATTTTCGGGTCATTAAGCCTTGATTACCAGAGCATTACATTAGGCTTATGTTATATTTATGATTTAGGACCGTTATTACAGACGTAACGTTCGTAATACACACGCATGCATACAGACCTGAGTAAAAGTAGCAGCACTAATATGAAAAATAATTAGCCAAACCATTCTATATCTATCTATATTAGTTGTGTTCACCATATTTCGTTTAGGGTGATAAAGGACTGGTAGTTGAATTTTCCCACAATGCCATGAGTAGACCTGATGTTTCCATTGAATTTAACATAGCATTGCTTTCCCAAAAGTTGTTATCATCCAGGGTGGACTGCAGTTTCGACTAAGCATAAGTCTTATCAACACCCCCAGCAGGAGTTAAACCGTGACAGGGCTACGTGTAAACTCGGCACGTTAGCCACTCCGCCACATTGTCAAGAGTGTCCTTTGGTCACAGGGCAGATGTGAATTTCAAAGAATGTCAGGAATTTTTATATCACATACTGTGTTGGGATTGAAGATGAAGCAAACTTATATTTTCTATAGTAATTGACGACATCACGTTTTTCATTATTGAGTAAGCTTTCGAGACTACCAGTAAATCAGATAGATGAGTTGTGTTCACCATATTTCGTTTAAGGTGATGAATGAATGGTGGTTGAATTTTCCCACAATGGTACGAGTAGAGCTGACATTTCCATTGAATTTCACATAGCCTTGTTTTTCCTTTGGGAAATGCAGGATGTCTCGTGGACTGTGTCAATCAAAAAGTGGTATTAAAGCCAAACCACTGCAGTACAACCGGAATCAGCTATTGTCTTCTGGTGGAATCAACTTCTCTCTTCTCCATGCACTTTCATACGAAATGGAAGTATCCATAACAATGTTGTCCTAAGAGATTCATCGAACTCGAGTTATTCTTCGTATCTATTATGGTATATCTGCGGCATTCGAATTTAACCGATTAGGTAATACATTGAATGTGAAGAATATCGGTAGGAAGTGAAATAAGAACCAAGTAACCTTAATCAATAGATTCAAGGAGAGAGGGTATGTTAAGCGCCATAAAAGGGAGGCGACTTAACTAATATTCCACGTCTTAGTTTTAATTACAGTTATTTTTCTGTACTTTTAGTCCTCTATTTCTCTCTCAAATGAAGACAAAAAGCCCATAAACTTAATCAGACGCACATTTGACGCCCGACAGACGAAAACTGAGTAGTTTTTCAAGGAATCGAAAAAGATCGTCTCGGAAACAGTGTCAACAAGAATGTTCAAGTAAAGCCAATCGACAAATGGTCAAGAGGAATTTGCTATCGTCTTCTAGTGGGATCTTTATATCCCTTCAACAAACACTTTCACTCGAAATGGATGTAAGCTCAACATTTATAAATCAAAATAATCCTCGAAACCCAACTTTTCTTCGCATGTACTAGTTGTAGCTTGGTTCTAAGATTTTTAAGACCTGCTGACGATGCCGAATACGACGCCGGCGAAACGTCTGGAAATCTACTAATTTCACTCTCCAACGCTGAAAATGATTATAAATACAATGTCAGAGAGCTTTGGGAAAAGTTCGTTCAACAAGTTTGCCATGACAGCACAAAATCAGACCACTTCTATACGGCGAACAAAGGCAGAAAACAAAACAGAAGCCACAACAACTTGGTCTACATATTTACCGAGATACTTGTATATCTATCTATATCTACATATTTTTGTTTTTAGTAATGAGTATATGTAACATGTAGGCTAGAGCCGAATAATCTAGTTGACTTGCCAACTGAAAGCTTTAGCATGAATAAACTCCAGCTCTGACGATGTCTTTCAACTGGCTTACTCTGTTTTCAACCGAAACAAAGGAGGATGTTTCGTGGACTGCGTTAAGTTGAACGTCGTATTAAAGACAAATGACTGAAGAGCAATAGAATCAGTTATCGTCTTACAGTAAGCGTAACCTACGAAATGAAAGTCTTCAAAATAAAGGAATTAAGTCATTGAAAAAGTAGAAAGGAAGACATAAATAAGTATAGGTGGTCTGAAACCTATTAGCTTTGGCTTACTAGCACAATTTGTCTGACCCTGTGAGCTGAGGTTGCAGGGGATGGCGAAGCACATGTAACCACAATGGCCACAATCTCGAGACCATCGTTGGTCTCATCCTCCTCTTTCTTCTCCTGTTTGTTGAGCTTTTTTGGAGCAAGCCAAGAACTATGCGCATGAAGAAAATTTGACGAACACCAGCTGTCCATGTTTTCGGGTTCAAGATGTTTGTTTATCACCTGTCTGGCTTGCATGAATGTCCAACAGTCGGTGAGCATAACAGCCTGCAATGGTTGAGGCTGGAGCCGGGGCGAATTCAGCGAAAGAGGAGGAGGCGAAGGAGGAGGAGAAGGAGGAGGAGAAGGAAGAGGAGGGCTGGGATGGGCTGTCGCCCTCAAGATTCGACTTTGAGGGTCGGTAGCTGGTGGTGACGGTAGAGACGGTGACTTCGCAAATGGTGGTTGTATCAAAAGAAGTGATGTAGACGAAGAGATGGGCGAGTATGGTGAACGTATAGAGGAGCTGGGAGGAGCCCAGGAGCCGTGATTGCGACCGACATCGGTGTTAAAGGCATACAGACCACGGGCCTCGGTGGCGTTTTTGGCGGCAGTCTTGCATGTGGCCGATCCAGCCCAAGAAGCCGAGGCCAGACGAGTGCCAGTGAGCGAGCCGACTTCGAGGCCGTCGGCCAGTGAACAACAGTCGAGGACCAGCAAAGAAGACGCCAAAGATTCGACAGTATCCACCCTCAACTGAGGCGATCCCCGATGCAATCGGCCATTATTGGGGCAAGGAAGAAGTTGTGGCAAAAAGTCGCCATCGGCCAAACGAACGCCGGCTCCACTAGCCTGACAGCAACGCTCCAAGCCGCAAAGTTGATCATCAAGCAATGAATCTCCGGCACGACTGTCAACAGTTGCCTCGAGGCTGGGTAGATTCAGCTCAGCTGAACTAGTGACATGCAAGTTCACGACAGCCGCAGCAGTCGTGCTGACGGTAGGCGGCATCTCAGCCACAGGATTGGCAGTCAAGGCCGCGTCTGTAGTGGAAGCGGGACTTTGTAACATCACAAAGTTACTGGGAGGAGTGTACGTCCTGCTGGACGTGGAAAGGTGTGCTGCAGCGGCCTCTTCGAGAGCACGGAATTCTGCTGCTTCTTCGTCCTCTTTATCACCTATTCCACGTCCAAAGAGGCTAGTCACTTTTGCTTCCTTCGTCTCTAGCCTCGCCGCAGTCTCATCACTGTCTTCTAACCCCTTTCCCCATCCTTCCTGCCACTTATTTTCTTGCTTGAATGTTTCCTCTATCGCCTCATCCTCATCTTTATTGAAATCCCAAAGATTGCTCTCACCTAAAGTGGTTGAGAAAAAAGAGAACGCATTCCGCGATGTCAAATATCTAGTCATTAATTGACTTAGCGAGGATATGAAATACTAGTGAATACATCAATTGAGAGATAGCTAAAAAGTTGGGTGCTCCGATGCATAAACTTGCTAATGATATTCGCGTAAACTAGATCACCTTTGATTGAGACTTAATTGCCAAATAAGTGCTAGCGAGATTTGCCCAGAAGGCACCCATGGGGTTATTAAGCCGTTTAGCTCATTGATG